CCGGGAGAGAGGCGGGGGTCGCGCCTGGCTGCCTACCGGCGGGGTCTCGCACCCTCCTCACCTGGCACGATGCCGAGAAAGAGAAATAGGGAAGGTTTTCGGGGTTTTTTTTGCCCCACAGGTGTGTAAGTAAATCATAAATTGAGATGTTAGGAAATGCGAGGCTGACATCTCCATCAAAAATAATTATTTTTCCTCAGTAGTTGGATGAATTGTATCATTGAATGATTATTACAGGAAGTTTCCTCAGCAACTGGAAAAGGAGGGGTGTTAAATCCTTGTCAAAGATGATTTTTTCCACCAAAGTGTCTGTAATGAAGTTACTAATAGAAAGCAAAGGCTTTGAAAGCCACCCGAATTAAATTTCCCCTCTCAAGGCATCAGTTTCTTGATTTTCCTCTCATTTTTACTTATAATCATTTTTATAGACTGCAATAAAAACTCAGGGAAAATACTGCTGTCTTAAGTCTCTATATAATGAAACAAAAATTACTTCAATTATTTTTTTCATTTTCAAGTCACCTTGCAGGTAACGTTCCTTTCCATCACACTTAATTTAGCTTTAGTCCTATTTTCCATATGAAAGGAAAACGCAAGTTATTCTAGATCGATATGAAAATACTGTATTAGAATAATACTGACTTCAGAATTTATCGAAATAAGCAGATGAGACCACAGATCAACAATGTAATTTCTGGAGTGAAATGTTTAAGCTAAATCACATTACACGAGAAATGCATTTGGTCTGTGGGGATCCACAAAATGAATAAATGTGCCACATGCTGTGGTGGCATACATGGATGTTTTAGCAAGCCGGTGGTCATATAACCCCCAAATTTTAGTCTCTGAAGATTAAATTCCACACTTGGGCACACTTCAATTAAACTCTGACACATTAACTGGGTTTGTAGACTGCATGCATCACTGAAAACATTCACCAAGCAGAATACACGTTGAGGAATTGGGTAATGAAGCAGAAATAAATAAATGATAAAAACGATGAATAAATATGTATTTGAGTTCATTCAACTTACATGCCTTTCAGGATTAGGAAAAAATAATTTCCATTAAACACTGTAAACTTCAATCAACTTTTTGCTTAGCTACCAGTTTGCCACACACATTTATATGATTCTTCAAAAAATGTAATCAGATGATATAATGAGACAACCTGGTTCAAAACATAAGTAAAAAATTAAAGTGCTCGTTTTATATGCTTTTTAGTATATCTTTTAAATAAATACCTATGCTATAGCTTGTTGCATATGTAGTAATTTTAGAAAGAGGGATTTCAAAATCTCTAGCCATTTTAGGAGAAAGAAACTGCAGCCTGTATCATAGGTACATAAATACAATACTTAGCTTCTCAGTAATGCTTAAAAAGCCTAATTCTAGCTAATGAGAGGTTTTCCCAGGACAAACAGGATTCCTTCTTTCCATGCAGCTCTCTTCAAAAAACATCTTTACAAGCCCCAGGGTAAAGCAAGCACCGGGAGCTGGACGATGTTGCAGAGATTCTGGGTAACATCACAACCTCCAGAACTGTTGCGAGGCTGCTCTGAAATACTGTGTAAAATAAGATAGGTGTTATCACAGCAGCCTCTGGGCTACACCTACCTTTTAAGAGCATATGTACGCTATAAAGAGGAGCAATCAAAAGATACTGCTGAACAGGCTTTGAACAAGCTAGCACCAGAATAGGAAACTGTATCGTTGCATTAGAGCACTACTGCAGTCTGGCTAATTATTCATGCTCAGAGGTTAACAATTAGACTTGGGAAGTAAGGCTGATTAGGCCAGGAGCTGCACACATTAACGCAGTCTTTCTGGGACCCAGCCTAGTGTTTCTGCATGGAAGCATGATGAGCCGTTTAGCTGTATCAGTTCATTCACAACTAGCTCACATCTTGGACCTTCATCGTGCAACGTAGAAACACCCCTGGAGAATTAAAACCTGACTCAAAGGATACAGTTCACAATTACCCGAGAGATTGCCGTTGCTTCTTCAGGTAAAGTAAATGAAACAGATCGGGGAGAGCTGGACAACATAATACACACTATAGGGAAATGGAGGAACCATCGCTTCCAATATTCCTGGAAAGGTAGTTAAGTATTTCTTAATCTAATCTGGACATATTATTTTAAAACATTAAAAAAACAATGTAAGCTTTTAAAGTCTGTGCGATATAGGATAAAAACCTTCATAATGCCTTTTATACAGTTTCATTCAAGTGCAAAGCCTATTTCTTGCCAACAGATTTCAGTGGCTTTATTAGTGTTTGAATTGAAATATGGGCACAACTGTTTTCAAGATTGGTTTCTGATTTTTAGTTTGCTTTCACCCTGTACTTCTTCCAAAAAGAGAAGTACATAATATGTATCAGGTATGCGTACAGAGATGTGCATTTCACCTTTACTTAAACTAGGAGCCACCTCTTCATCAGTAAAGAGAAGATCATAGCTCATTACAAAAAACCTACAAAAGGTAACTGATTATAAGTTAGTTACAAGACAAAAAGCACTTAGGCAAGTTATCACAGAACCTGGAATTCATAAACAATATATTAAGACCATGTGATCAAATCAAATTTTAACTCATTAAAACAGAAATCTTAGCAGCATAACACTTACCATTTCAGCTTAGCAAGTCGTCCAACATCAGTCATCATTAGGCCCTTTTCCTGCTTGAGTACACTTGCTTTAGGAGATTCCCATCGAGATACTGAGCTACGCTCTCCTCCACTTTAGCAGTTCAGGATGTGAAATGACCCAGCTGTAAGATGAGGGAAAGAGTCTACTGCATCTCCGCAGGATGTTGCCGGAAATGTTATAATTAATCATTTAGAATTTTGACATTGTTTCCATTATCAGGGATTGCAACTGGCCCCAGGCCTAGAAGTAATTAAACAAGTATTACCCTACAGATTTTTATTCTTCTAGTCACATCCCTAAAAACAGGGGGGGGGGGAGATAAAGTCTCACTAAAGGGACTCGAGAATACATTAAAGATATATTTAAGTAATTTTTACATGCAGCAAAGGCTTCATGATAAATTGCATTGTTCTAGTATCCTTGTAAACCATTAGCATTTTCTGGAAGATGGTGACAACTTACTTTTAGCTTAGAAAATTCACTGTTATATTTAGCTGGTTTCCCCATCATTGACTCATTAATGCAGGCTTTAAAAGAAAACTGCCTGATTTGATTTTTAGACTGAATCCACATCATTCCAGTTTTTACAATAGTTATATATTTTGTTAATTCTGTTCACTTCTCAACAGAATCTACTTGAGTTTACAAGTGTACCTAAGGATATTATAATGGCAGAACAGCAATTTGCATGTTTAATTTGGAGTGGCAGAAAAGCTGTCTGGCAACTCCCTGTGGGCACACTTTCTAAAGAGAGAAGCAGCTTAGCTTTCCATTGCCACAAAAATCAGCAGGACCAAACAAATTACTTCCAAATATCTCCTTCTCAGTGTGAGGTGCCATTAATCCTTTTCTCTGCTAGCTCTCTGCTAGCCAGCAGTCTCTTTGTCATATTAAAATTGGATTTTTACTCCACAAAGAAAATGAAGTGTTGCAAAAACCCTAAGTATTATCTTTTCCCTTGAAAACCAAAAGAATTTACCTCCCCCCCCGCGCCTTTACACATGTATTTCTGCCATCACCAGCAGTCCAAGTGCTCTAATTTTTAAAAATATTAATGTTCATAACGCCTCCATGTGACAAGTGGATAATCGTTACTTTACAGCTCAGGAAATACTTTGAGACAGAAGAATAGGTGTCTTGACACTTCAACTTGTACTGAGTTCTCCATACTTCCTCCGTCTCCCAGAGGGTGGTTATTTAACTGCAACCGGCAGCGTGCAAAGAGTTTGTAGCTGTGCATCTGACTAGAGGCTTACTTCCATTGGGTCCCTATTTTAACTACTAGGCAAAATAAAGTTACAGTTTTACTCTGAGTACTGATTTTTTTTTTTTTAAAGCAGAAAATTAGCAAGAAACTATATTAGTTAGACCACACCACCCCTGCTTCAAGGCAGAAGGAAAACGGCACTTACTAGTGCAGCCTCAGCCACTGCTTTGGGCAACCCAATTCCAATTTTTCTCCGATCTCTGAATTTTTGTGGGAAGAACTGTACCCCCATCTTTTCCAGTCTGTGCTGAAATGCATTTTATACATTTCAGTAGAAATACATATACAGCAGAAGAAAGGTATGTTTCTTCTTTTTCTCTCGTTTCGGCAAGCGAAACAGAAAGACATCACCAGCGATTGGATAACGGAACTGAAAAGGACACTACTTACACCAGCTATAAATAGGAGGAAAAGGAGAACTTCATCTGCTTTTATGAAATATCCTGTGTTCACTCTTTTTGCCTGCACTATAGCCAAGAGCACATCTTTCCATGGCATACGTAGCAGAGGAAATGCGGTGTCAATCAGCATCAACTAGCAATATTCTAAGTACAAACAGCCTCTTATTTCACAGGAATTTGCTTTCTTCCAGTGAAGCAAGACTTATCACATGATAACCTATCATTTCCTTTTGATAACATACAACTGTATCCCAAGCTGGAGGCTGGACAATTACAAAATATCAGGGAATACCCACAAATCATGACCTCAAAATATGATTTTCAATTCTTTAATGCTTGCATTACCTGCTTGAATACTATAAATCCACTTGCTTTCATTGCACATACTTTCAGAATTATAGCAAAACATAACCATAAACGCCAGGGCTTTGCTACCTTAATTTCTGGTATCTCCAGTTCACCTAACCCATGTCTTCTCCATTCTCCCACCAACCCCATCCATGCACATTTCCTTACATTAAAAGAACATTGGGCTGTAACTAATATGCAGAGTTAGGTATAGCTATGGTGAATTCTGATAGTAAAAATTTTTCATTACCATATTATCTACAGGCATAAAGATTATTACTTTTGAGATGATAACCAAAGACTCGAATAGTAACTGCTATCTGCATCGATTAGCTAGCAGCTTTCAAGCAGAGGGTATGGATTGACGTACTGTATCAATATTGAAAGATGAAGAGTCTGCCATGGTACTAATTCAAGCTGTAGAAAAATGAATGGTGGATGAATGTGTAGCTAAGGATCAGCACCACCCATTTTTAGACTTGCTAAAATATTTTACTATCATCTGACTTCGAATTATGATCAGAAACACAGATATATACGCAGTTGTGCAAAATCTGCCTTAACATTTCAACATAATCAGTATCCTGGGTTACTGGTTAATCTCATTAAAGGAATTTTAATTTAAAACTGGTTCATGAATCATCACCGTAGACTGTAAGGTTCAGTTAACAGGTTTTCAGTAGTTTCAACACAGCCAGCCGAAACCCATTGCCTGAACTTGACAGCCGCCTGCTGGCAAGCGAAAGAACAAGCAGTGTAACAGAATACCAACCTGTTTCTGCTGTAATCAATCAGATCCTGTTTCACTGAATAAGGTATGAGCTACATTAATTTGAAACTGAGAAGGCCGACGATCCCTTGATTGTCCTACCTTCCACACCACTGCAGGTCTCGACTTCTCTCCTTTAAAGGATTTCATTTCAGTGGTTTAATTTCAGGTGTCCCTCCCTTCGTATTTTAAATCTGTGGTGGTTCCTCCTTTTCTCATGAGAAAGTTGATGTCCACGTTGCATAATACCACATTTAATTGGTGCATGAAGGAACTGTCAAAGGATCACAGTCTGGAAGGAAACTCGAGAGTAATTCACATATCCAGAAAAACCCTCTCCCTCCCACTATTAATCACTTTAAAAGAACAGGAATCAGTAAACAAATCAACAATGGGAATGAGAACACAGTGTGCTGTGCATAGAATAGATATCCCACTAAGCAAATAAATTACCTTTCCACGTCTCCCTCTCCTGTTAATAAAGATAGCTTCAACTCTGTTTATCGTTCTTAATTGCCCCAAGTGAGATTCTGATCAGAGACTAACTGCAGAAATTTTCAAGTAATCCCAAAGAAACAAAACCAAAAATAAAGAAATCACTTGTTTAGGAAGGAATTTTATTTTTGTGACATTACATTTTCGGAGCTCTATTTAACTAAATTTGAAGACCAACGCCTGCTCTCTGGACTTAAAGGGCAGATCAAATCTATCAGGTAGCCAACTGAATCCCAGTAAGTCTTTCCCCCCACCCCCCTTTGTCTTTGCATAATCTTCCCTTTGAGACAAGGTGAGATGCAAAGGGAAGAACATACACAATTTCTTAAGCCTGTTCTTTTCCCTCCCTAACACACCCATCTTCTAGTAGCCAGGGTTCTTCCCTTTGGATTTATCGCTACCTTGGGTACTCTCCTTATGTCCAGATCTCCACAGCTGATGAATTTTTGGAAATGAATTTCACAAAACGTAAGGGTTCGGTTGGGTTGCTACTACCTTTGTGTCTTTAATAGCGAGTCCGCAAAAAGAGTTATCATGTCACTATTTCCTATGACCTTTTTTCCACACTAAAAAAATGCACCATTTTCAGCACCAAGTAAAAAATTTGACGACTAAACTGCCCCTCTGGGTTGGAATATATACACCACTGAGGCAGGGTACAAAAATATATCCGAACACAGATACATATGAAAAATCTATTTCAGCATTCAGCAGCTTTATTCTGCATTCATAAAGGAGAAACTTTTAAAATATGCTATTATAACACAGTCAATACCAGAGATTTCATTTTAGGACAACGTCCTCAATCCCTTTTTCACATCATTAAAGCAAAAACACAGTTAAAGCAATCAATGAAATGCCCTCTCCCCTCCAGGCTTGTCTCGCTACTATAGTTCTTCCCGCAGGACTCTGCGATGCGTGCCCTAGTTACTTCAGTTCATCATTTTCCTGAGAGAAAAGTTTGAGGGTGATTTTTGTCTCAGAGCATCAACTAACAATTTCAAAATAGGTAAAAAGACATTTTTCCACATTTTGGAAAAGATAACTCACTAACAGCAGCAACAGAACAGTTTAGCCCTGTGTTTTCACATCCTGCAGACAGAATAAGTATCTTTTTCACATTCAGTCAAAAATTGCCCCTTTCATTTTAACAATACAATATATTAAGATAACTAAAGCTTTATAAACAAAGAAATTAGGTTTTGTTCAAATTTTATTTGGAACTATGTTTTTAAAAACAATTTTGTAAGCATCTCAAAAACTGTAAAATTTTTCTAGAAATTAAAACATGATTGTTTCCAACAGTTTCAAGTTTCAAAACATTAGAACATATTGAAAACAAGAACAAGCTATTCATATTTTAAGGGTAATGACTTTAGCTGTATACAACTTACCCAGCAATCCCAGACAATTAAATTACCATAGGTAACAGAATACATAACACCATCAGAGAATATGGAAGATGCATGTAAGTGCATATTTAAGAACCAACTGTCTGTATTTAGAAGTTTGGAATTTTACCTGCCTGAAAAATAGTTATCTGTGCAAGAAAAGTTGTACCAGTTAG